GGACGTGCATTTTTTAAAAGTATTTCCAAAAGTTGAGCTAATTATTTCTTAAGGAAGTGAAATCAAAAAATTAAATATCTTTATTACAGGATTGTGTCTAAAAATAGAAAAAAATCAACATAAGGTGGTAGTATATCAAATAGTATACCCTCCACCATTATATGATCTATCATCATAAAATTCTAATAGATATAGCTATGACAGACTGCCTATCCATATAGTTGTGATGTTTAGACAGCGGCTAAGTGAATTATTTAGAGCTCTGAAATTGGAAAAAAATTGTGTACGATCGCGGTATTTTTGATATTTCCAATTATATGATCATTACTTTGTTTAATAGCACCTAGTAGAACTTGAGTCGAAATTGGATGGTTTCAGGGGTTTAATTTGCATATGCCTAATGGCAATAACTTCGAAATACTTTCCATATTAAGAAATCATCCACACCAAAAGGGCCCGATGAGCTGCTTAACTAACGATGGAACACGTCGTCTAGTTGTGAGTGTCTGATAGTATCTATCTCGCTTTCCTTTTTACTTCAAATTTCAGATCATTAAGCTCGTATCAAAGGAGAAATAAACAAAAAAAAAATTTACGGTCAGGAATTGCAACCAAAACGCTTCGAATTATATTAAAAAAAAAAAAAAAACAAGTACAAAAGCAGTAAGTTCGGCCGGGTCGAACTTTGAATACCCTCCACCATTTGGAACGAATTAGAAAATTTTCAAAAAAATAAAATCTAATAAAAATTCTTTTAAAATCTTTAAAATATTTAATATAGGAAGGTGCCGATATGGGGGGATATACGATATTGTGGACCTATAAAGACAAATCTATATCTGCGTGTAAAGTACTCACAAGGAACTCCTTGTGTGGATTTTCAAAATACCGAATATCGCGGGGTATCGTTATATGGGAGCTATACGTTATCGTTAACCTATACAGAGAATTCTCTGTCGGGGGGTAAAGTGCTCACAAAGAACCCCTTGTGTACAAAGAACCCCTTGTGACCATTCCGTTGAAAAATATGGCTAAAAACATCAAAATACCGAATACCGTACCGTTATATGGGGGCTATACGATATTGTGAACCTATATAGATAATTCTCTGCCGAGGCATAAAGTACCTACAAGGAACTTCTTGTGTGGTTTTTCAGACAATTCCATTGAAAAATATGGCTAAAATAATCAAAATACCGTTATATGGGGGCTATACGATATCGTAGACCGATATAGCCCATCTTCGAACTTGACCTGCCTGCAGACAAAATAGAGATCTGTGCAAAATTTTAGCTTCCTATCTTAATTCGTTCAGACTGTAGCGTGATTACAACAGACGGACGGACAGGGCTAAATCGTCTTAGAATTTTACGCTGATCAAGAATATATTTACTTTGTTGGGTCTAAAATGATTATTTCGATGAGTTACAAACGGAATGACGAACTTAATATACCCTCCATACTTTTTTTGGTGGAGGGTATAAAAATGTAGACAAAGAACTCTACATAGCGGAATTCTTACACAAGTGTACGATTTGTCAGACTGAAATTCTCAAATCAAGGCAAGAAATGGAGTTGGCTAAATATGTAAATTAGTACTGCTGGTTCCGTTATTATGATCTATAATTAGGATCGTCACATACCCGAAATACGTTACGAAATAAACTTTTTTGTCACTGTCACCAAAAGGGCCCGATGAGCTGCTTAACTAACGATGGAACACGTCGTCTAGTTGTGAGTGTCTGATAGTATCTATCTCGCTTCCCTTTTTACTTCAAATTTCAGATCATTAAGCTCGTATCAAAGGAGAAATAAACAAAAAAAAAAAAAATTAACGGTCAGGAATTGCAACCAAAACGCTTCGAATTATATTTAAAAAAAAAAAAAAAACAAGTACAAAGGCAGTAAGTTCGGCCGGGTCGAACTTTGAATACCCTCCACCATTTGGAACGAATTAGAAAATTTTCAAAAAAATAAAATCCATTAAAAATTCTTTTAAAATCTTTAAAATATTTAATATAGGTAGGTGCCGATATGGGGGGATATACGATATTGTGGACCTATAAAGACAAATCTATATCTGCGTGTAAAGTACTCACAAGGAACTCCTTGTGTGGATTTTCAAAATACCGTCCATTGAACTATCGATGAAAGAGGCTGTCAGCCGCAGCACAGTGGTGTGAGAGCCTCAGAAAACAGGGAATCATTATGTCGTTTTTTTTTTTGCTCACACATTTATATTACTTCTTGGATGATTGGTATTGAAATTTGGACATAAAAGTGACCCCATAGTACGGTACTTCCTGATTTTCGGTATTTTTAATGTTTAGACCAAAATTTTCAAGAGCCGTTTAATTCGGCACATCGGGTTTTAAACAGTTATTATGTCTCCTTAACAGAAAAATGTCAAGACTTGTCCACTATTTGCTCATATAATGGTATTGACCTCATTTTTGGTATTTTAAAGTTTTCGGCAATAAATTGAAACTAAATTAAGTGTCACTTTAAATTGATGATTCTGCATAGACATAACTCCTCCCTACAACAAATTGTAAAATTATGTTCAAGGTTTGGTATAGGCCTCATTCAACAATATTGGCCCAATTTTCTGTATTTTTTAAATAACTAAAATAAAAGTTGTCATTTTGTTTTCTCGATGGGTACTACTACTACAAAAATTGCCAATATCGGACCATCTTTTGACATAGGCTCCTTGTGGGGGAGTGTGATCCCCAGACAAAATATTAATCTAAAAGAGCATTTAGCGAAGTAGTGAGCATAGTGAAGTAGAATCTTGTGTTCTATAAACGTGTGAAACTGAAAACAGTTATTAATACACCTCTGTATCCTTATTAGCAACTACATTGGCTGTCTCAAAAAGATCTTTCCTGATGGCAGTCGAAAACCCGTTGGAAAGAAGAAGAAGTTCCCTCAAACTCCACACAAGAAGTTCCCTCCTGGATAAAAATAGTCTATATAGATCCACAATATCGTATAGCCCCCTGGTATAGTAGTTTTATTCTCTTTTATAAGAAAGCTCTGGAGAGTAAGCAGACGGATGCATAAACTTGCCAGCAATCATCTGATATGTCACAACGGAGCAATTTATCCGAGTTGCAAGTGTTCGTAAGAAGAAATTTGTCCGTCAAGATTTGCAAACTTTCAATAAAAAAGGTATTGACATTTTCTCTTTTTTTTTTTCTCTCATTTTCTCTTTGCAGAACGTTTCTGTTAACAGACGACTTGCAGTAACAATTTGAACAATTGTTAAAAACTTCAGGGTAAACAGACACACCTAATGTTGTGCAATAGATGTATTGTAAATTCACAATAGGTCATCCAGTAAGACCAGCTGATTTCCTGCGAATTATCAAAATGCATCCTAATCGTATGACAACGTAAACAAAAAATGGAACAACTCTAGTTTAGTAAAAACTCTTCAATTTTTTCGAATTTTTTTCCAGAGGTAGGTATTTTTACCCTGATCCCGGGAAACTATTTTTTTCTTGGGGGACGGACCCGGGACCTCAGATTTTTGACCCGAAAGTCCGGGATCAAGACCCCGGCTGGACCCGGATCCACTTACCCGATATAGACAATATGGGTATCGATTGAAATACCTATCCAACAAGTGGTCACATGAAGGGGTTAGTTGTCATGGTTCGGAAGTTATAGTCAAATTATCGATTTTTTGGACCCGGATTTTTTATTTAACCCCCAAAAAGTCAAAAAAGGTCCCATTACGGGGGTCAACAATACTGTATCCAAATTATAGCTGACACTCTTACCTTTCCAAAATGCTACAATTTGTGCTAATACCTTTTTCGGGTCCAGAGATATGGGTCTTTCCATCCGCATAACCCGATTCTAACCCTATATCGGGTAAGTGGATCCGGGTCCTTGGGGGATCGGGGTCTTGATCCCGGACTTTTGGGTCAAAAATCTGGGGTCCCGGGTCCGTCCCCCAAGAAAAAAATAGTTTCCCGGGATAAGGGTAAAAATACCTACCTCTGGAAAAAAATTCGAAAAAATTGAAAAGTTTTTACTAAACTAGAGTTAAGCCCAAAAAATTTTGACAGATACGGTACTTTGAAGATTTTTAGCGATAATTTTGACCCGAATTGTTTGAAATTTCGTTTTTGAAGTTCGGAATCGGTACTACAGCCTATGACCAAAAATTACTTAGGTAGGTCCACTTCTTCGTAGAGGCCCTAATAAACGGTTTTCATTAAAGTGGAATTTTTCGACGAGTTTTTTTGAAATGTATCAAGAACCTTCAAAATGGTGGAAGGTATTAAAAGTTCTTCAATAACACCAACTGGACTTTTGCATACGTAGGCAAGTTTAAGTTCGGTCGGCCCTATTTGTTTAAATCCGATGTGCAAAAACTAGACATATGAAAACTTATTTATGAGGTCTCCAACAAATATAACGAGTTTTTGCAAATGGAATGATAAACGCAATATCCTTCATTTTGTGGTGGAAGCAAGACTGCCTTTGTGAAGGTATGAATGTCACCAAGGTGACATTTTACCATTTAAGAAAGTAAAATCTATGATAATTACACATGGCGGTCAATACTAGAATAGAGATTTGTCGGTTAATATGGCGCGGAAATTGATAAGACTTAACCTATCTTAAAAGAATTGGACTGAGGCAAAGTGCGCTTTAACTTCACTAAGCAAAGTTCGGAAGTCACGAACTTTAAAGAAAACAATAGACTATAACATTAAAAGAGAGTGCGATTTCCTGTCAAATAGGCATTTTTTACAATTGCATACAATTAAGCTTGCAGCTTTGTTCAAATTGAAGCTTAGGCAGCTATAAAAAGTTTTGAAATCTGTGAAAATAATTTGCATAACAAACTTAAATATTGAACAATAACAAAAAAACAATAATAAGTCATATGTCTGAAGTCAAATTGTCATATGAATATGTATGTATGTATATGCGAATTAAGTATCTTGGGTAAGTGAGACATTTAAGAAAATTCTCCCTACCTTAACATCACGTGGGAAATATTGTTTGCCATTGTGTAGCCAATAGATTTCTGGACGTGGTATTCCACCAATCAGGGCTTCCAATTTAACCTTTTGGCCAACACGAGCCATGGCATTGTTCAGGGGAATTTTGAAGTGTGGGACTTCTGTGGGTTCAAGAGCTACAAAAATAAAACTTCAGTTAAATAAACTCATCAAAAAGTAACGATGACAATTTTCACTTACGTTCCACAATTAAACTGGCCGAACAATGTTCAATTCCCGCAGGATTCGAAGCACTGCAGGTGTAAACAGCATCATCTTCCAAAAATACCTCCTCAAACCGCAATTTGGCCTCGCCGTTATTGTAGCTGATCACATAGTCGGGACAATCATCAATGCATTTGTCATTTTTATACCACTGTACCGTGGGCAGGGGATTGCCGGTGACAATGCACGAGAATTCGAATGAGGATCCCTCTTTGGCGCTGGCACTGGCCAAATAGCGTACAATGCGAGGCGGTATCATTTGCACCTCGGCAGCATTTTCACGAACCGACAAATTAGCACTGGTTGTGGCATTACCCACCAGATTCGAAGCGCGGCAAGTAAATCTCGCCGAATCGGCAGCAAATGTCTCCTCTATGACCAGGCGGCACATACCCTTGTCATAGGTGGTTTTATAGTCGGGGTTGTTTTGTATCAAAATGCCATCTTTGTACCATTCAATCGTGGGTTCAGGACTGCCCGTCACTTCACATTCAAAGGTGAATTTATCATTTTCCCTGGTCACGGCATCCTTGAGAGGTTTCACAAAGACCGGCGAGGAGTATTTGATTTCCGTGAAGATGTGATTGATTTCAATGTCCTTGCGTATGTTTTCGGTAACAATGCGCTGGTGATCGATTTGCTCGTGCATGCTTTGTAGACGTTTTATGGATTCCTCGCGTTGCACCTGCTCCTTGAGGGCCAACATGCGAGCTTCCTCCTCGCGTTTTGTTTGTTCGCGCAATGTCTGAATGCGTGCTTCTTCCTCGCGCACAGCCTGCTCACGTAAGGTTTGCAGGCGAATTTCTTCTTCACGAATCTTCCGCAAACGGGTCTCCTCTTCTTCGCGGGCCTTTTGTTCACGTATGGTCTGTTCACGCAACGTCTGCTCGCGAACGGCTTGGAGACGAGCTTCCTCATCACGTAAGGCTCTCAAACGTGCCTGCTCTTCTTCGCGAGCCTGTTGCTCTCGGGCAGCCTGCTCTCGAGCGGCTTGTTCGCGTATCAACAACAAACGTTGCTCTTCTTCGCGAACTGCCTTTTCACGGGCAGCCAATTCCAGGGCCAAACGCTCACGTTCAAATTGTTCACGTGCTGCCTGCTCTTTGAGTGCCAACAGACGTGCCTCTTGCTCACGAGCTGCCTTTTCACGGGCCTCAGCCTCGCGCATTGCCTTCTCGCGTTCGGCTTGTTCACGTGCCTCCCGTTCACGTTGCTCTCGGGCGCGCTCTTCACCCTTCAGACGTTCCGAAACTATGGTAATGTCAGATTTCAGTTTCATAAATGATTGGAAAATTGTCATGACATCATTGAAGAGTTGGGAAACTTTGGACATGTCATGGCTACATTTGGCAGCACTTTCCAGCTTTTGGCGTAACGGCGCCTCACGTTCATTGACATACTTGTCAATGTCATTGACGAGGTTTGAGGCTTCCACCGGATCCCGAAGATAGGTGATTTTGTTCGAAACGCTGTTATAGAAATAGTTAATTTCACGATATTCGCAATCAATCTGTGAGTAAAAATCAAAATTGGAGGAATTAAAAAAAAAATTATTTAAAAAATATCGTGTTTTGTGATCACTTACCTTTTCAACCACCTCAAAGAATTCCGTGGCCTGATTGAGAGAATTTCGTTTTGTTTTCACCTGATCGCGGAACTGCTGCCACTTTTCGTTAAGTTTACGAAGCTCCTCACGGAAATAGGCTTCACTTTCCGGATTCGAAACCAGCAGCTGTTGTGTAGTGGTTTCAGTGAATTTCTCAATGCGTTTTTCCAATAACTAAAAATAGAAATGACGGAAAATGGAGTCTTAGCATCAAACGGTAATCTTCGACAAGCTTCAACATATTGCAACAAAAACGAAAGAACAAATTGTGAAATATTTCATAACAACATTTATGAAAAATGCAAAATACAAAGGATCCAACAACAACAAAAACAATCATCGAACTACAAGTCATTCTATTTTTGGCATTCACAACTACTGCCCGAATACACAAAACAAGACGTCTCTCCGTCTTTTTTCGCCCTTTTTCCCATTGGGCCAGACTGGGAACAGGGAATGAAAAAAGACACACAAACAAATTTGAATCGACTACACCAACCGCCAAGCAATTCACACTCTAACATCAAATGTGAGTTCTCCTATTTCATATTCGAAGCAGCTGTTGTTGTCAATTCACACTGCAAATGGATGGTGGTCCGAAACGGATGTGAATAATGTATGAAAAATATAGTTCTTTCTTTTTTTTTTTTTTTTGATTTTTTGGTAACACAATATGCGTGGATTACAGATGAGGCTGTAAATTGTTGCTGTATTTTACAAATGAAAATGACCATGTTCAGAGTCTAAATTATAAAAAATCTTAAGGAAATAACAGTCATAGTGCAAGAAAGTTATTTAGGTTGGGAATGAATATGATCAACTGACTAAAACTGTTACAATCCTGAGAAGGGTGCTGTTAAATTATATATTCCGAAAAAGTTTTTTTTTTTAATTTTTTTAAGAAGATATGGTGGTTATATAAACCAAATTGTAAGTAATTTGTTTGAAGCATACAGTAAAATTTAGAAAATATTTAAAATTAAAAAAAAAAAAAAAAATCCATAAAAAATGAGATATTTTTTTTACTGAATCATATGTGTTTGTATTTAATTGAGACAGTGTTAAGGGGAAAGTCTACTCACTTAAAACCCCACCCTTTCAAATATTTAATATTTGGAATATGGGCCACGATGTTTGATGAAAATGAAGCACCATTTCACATTTTATAAGAATAATTAGCTCCGTTCCAGAATGTGGTTTCACAAATTTTTAGTAGAAAACCATTCCTATACGCAAAAATCTAGTGAAACTTGTAGGCAAATTTAAGGGAAAAGGGGCAAATATATGGGGGCTATACGAAGACGCATTGCAATTTTTTGTCATAGGCTGTACTACCCATTACGAAATTTAAATACGAAATTTTAAACAATTCCGGTAAAAAAAAATCCTAGACTATTCCATAAAAAAGTGGCTAAAATAATAAAAATACCGAATATGGGTAGGTAGGTAGGTAGGTAGGTAGGCTTATATCTAGTACCGTCATATGTGGCCTATATGAAGACTTAAACCTATATAGATAGGTTGTAGTACCCATTACGAGCTTCACATACGAAATTTGAAACAATTCCGATAAATGTTGTCCCTAAAATCAAATAACAAATACCGAATATCGGGAGGTATCGATATATTTAAACAATTCCGATAAAAAAATGTCGCTAAAATCATCCAAATAGCGAATATATTGTATGGGGGCTATATGATATCGTACACCATATAGACAATCCTCTGCCAGGGGGTAAAGTACTCACGAATAACTCCTTGTTCCTGGAGTTCAGACAATTTAATTGAAAAATGTGGCTAAAATAATCAAAATACCGAATATCGGGACATACCGGTATATAGAGGATATACAATATCGTGTAGGGGGATATACGATATCGTGAACTCCTTGCGAAGAAATCAGACAAACTCATTAAAAAATCATCAAAATATCGACTATCAGTGGTACCGTTATATGGGGGCAATTATCCTTCAGACAATTCCATTGCAAAATGTGGCTAAAATCATCAAAATACCGAATATTGGGGACTATACGATATCGTGGACTGATATAGCCCATCCTCAAACTTAACCTGCCTGAAGAAAAAATATTGATCTGTGCAAGTTTTTAGCTTCCTATCTTAATTCATTTGGACTGTAGCGTGATTACAACAGGCAGACGGGCGGACTGTTAATTTTACGCTGATTAAAAATAAATGGGCTTTGTTATGTCTAAAATTATTATTTCGATGAGTTGAGTGCTATATTTGGTGAAGAGTATAAGACGTCGGAGAATAACTTGATGGTTAGCATCAATTTTTTACTTATTATCTAATTTAAGACAATGAGAGAGATTTAAATTACCAGCCAATTTGAATATAATTATTTTATTATTCATCTCTTATAAAAATATCTAGTATTTTTTCCTTGAGCTTAAAGAGGGGTTTCCAAATGATAAATTACTGTTATTATAATTATTTTATTTTTTAATTTTTATTTTTATTTATTTTTTTTTTGGTTTAACTAATAATAACTAATTTTGTTATTTTTTACTGATGAAGTTATGAAAATTAAAAAAATTGGTCCTACAGAGACCTACGTTAAAGGGTAGTTCTATATTAGCAATTCTTTTTCTGACTAGAGACAAAAAGAAAATACCAAATAATAACAAGATTACAAAAAACTCCGTCTGAAACCCTCAAAATAGCTACAATTTTGAAGTACCGTTATGTATGACCAATACATAACAGTCGACCTATCTTCACAAAATTAGCAGGGATAGATTTTATAAGCTCAAAACTCAAAATGTCAAGTTATTCGTGACTGGATTTGAAATTGTGGTCGAAACCTTGCAGATATCGAAAATTACAGTAGTATGGGACCTATACCAAATACGCGAGAAAGGTCGAAAAGTTTTAGCGTGAACAGATTATATCTACTCAGAACTCTAAATGTCAAGTTACACATGATTTTGTTTAAAATTGTGGTCAAAACATTCATAATACCGAAAATGAGAAAGTAACGCTATAAGGGGGTCATACCGAAACGTGGACAAATATATTCCCCTCTTAATACCAAACGTACTAGGGGTAACATAAATGTCAAAGCAAAATTTCAAAGCGATAGAATGCTGTCATAAATTAAATTCCGTTTTGGGGTCTCAACCCAAGTCGTCCCTTTCACCCTGCAGTGTAGGTAAATCAACTTTGGATTTATCGATAGGTCGACTTTTGGTTTTTAAAACAGATCAGGGATATGCTCGTTTTTACTTGAAGTAAAAGTTTCATGCGAGCGGAAGTGGTTGACGATTGAGAATTTTATACGGTGTTAACTCTACACTCTTTTGTTTTGTGTGGGAGCGCTCCCGAGTCAATCCTGTTAAAAAATGGCAATTGTCCAAATTAAGATTTGTTAAGATTAATTTAAATTAAATCGTGAAATAGAATTTTTCCAATGTGACATTTAATCAAAATGTTATATTATTATAATATATTACTTATATTTAATTATTCCCTTATTGCAAACATCAAATGCATCGGATGAAGGTAAATCTAATTTTTTTAACAACCTCAATTAAAATTGGTTTGCCACATTGCAGCATTTTTCTTACGACCGTTTAAATGTCACAAATATGTCCCAATGTTTCGACACTCTCTGTCTTAAACCTTAGGTATAACAAATTCAAAGCATACCTTAAGGCGGAACATTTTATTTTATTTTACAATTTGAAGATGAAGTGTCCTTGGTTGTATGATAATGACATTTGTTTATATTAAAATATATTGGAATTTTGGAAAAATTATTAGCTTGTGTGGTCTAATGAAAATGTCCATCGTTTATGCAGAAAAATGTTATGAAATATTTTGACTTTTTAACGCAAACATTAACTATAATAAAACAAATTTCCACAAAAAATTTGCAAACATCCGAAATTACTAAATATGTGTGTGTGTCTGTACATATGCTTTTTGCACAAAAATATATTTAACAATGATTTCGAAAACACGAGCAATTCTATGGCGTCTTTTGTACATACAACAATGGAAAACGTATTGGAAAATGACATGAAAATTAGGTCGAATTGTTGACTAAACATGAGGGAACATCAAGACACATAATTGAATTTTCAAAAAAACTTTCAAATCAATTAGCTATAGTCAAACGATGATTGGAAACACACAAAGAAGAACAACTATAGATGGAAAATTCAATAATACCTCCATTGTGTGTAAATAGCAGCCCCAACGCAGTTCGTGTCGGGTGGGCTTTAGAAATTTTGGCATTGAACTCTAGAGAGGAAAATGATTTTATTTTGTAGAGTAATTGATATATTTTGCAGATAATTATTTTTTTCTTAAGCAATTATATAACTACTTGTCGCGTTAAATAGAATGTGCCGGTAGAATTGTCAGTCCGGAGTAATCTAGTGATTGCATAGACTAATAGCTCGTTTATATAAAAATTTGAAGCGATTAATCCTAATCAATCACAATAAATGTATTGCCTCTTTCCGGCGGTTACATTTATTGTGATTGGTTAATTATCACTGTTCACCTGGCTAAAATTTGTGGGAAAAAACGAACGCTAAAGAATATATAGACAACGGAATATAGCATTATACCCATGTTTTTTTTTTTTTTTTGGATCTCGCGTTATAATTAACCAATCACAATACATTTAGAATATGTCAAAATTTAATTATGAGGGTTTAATCGGATAAATATTTATATGTAATGGTAATTTTATCTCCATCCAATAACAGAAATGCTGCCCCAGCCGATTTTTCTAATAGAATACCAATGAGTCTTCTTCTTATAGAAGATCAAATGATCTTCTAATAGAATATCCAAGGATATTTTTATAAAAGAACAAGTTAAAAACAGTAAGTTTGTCCGGGCCAAACATTGGATACTCTCCACCATTTGGAAGGATTTTGCAAATTAAAAAAAAAAAACAGCAAGGAAAAATCTAAAAAGTCGACTATATGATACCCTACACCACTATGCATATTTAGTAGATCTCCCATAACAAATGATTTTTTTTTTTTTTGAAGTAGACCATACCTAATATCAACATTTGGCTTTAGAATACTTATAATTTGGTTTCAGAGGGAACTAATATATGGGAGGCATATCTAATTCAGAATCGATTTTCACCAAATTTGACGGAGGCAAACATTGGTATGGAGTGTATGATATCACTTGAAGAAAGTATATATATCGGAGCCGAGTTTCACCAAATGGAAACGTACGCCGCGAAATTTGCTCCACACAATCAATCTGAAATCGGATTAATGATATGTATGGAAGGTATATCCAAATCTGAGTCGATCTCGATAAAATTTGGCAAAGGTAGTTTAGAACTCGATAAGATATCTGGTACCCAATATCTTTGTTGTTCATATTACGAATGTGAGGGATGAAACATATATATGGGAGTTTTAGCTATATCTGAACCGATTTTCTCCGAATTCGGTGTACTTGCTTCTATAATGAATTCTGTCGGATATGCCAAAATTCAGGTCATTTGGACTGATATTGGCCATTTGGTGTACAATTAACCAGAAATCGGTTGTAGATATATATGTGAGCTTTCTCTAAATTTGATCCGATTCTCACCAATTTCAATTAGGCTAAATAAAAAATTTCCATCTCAATCGGATAACAAATGCGACCTACATTCTGTTCACAAAAATACATGGACAGACGGACGGACGGACTGTCATACATAAATCGACTCAGAAAGTGATTCTATGATCCTCAAATGTAACTACGGGTCTATCTCGCTTCCTTCTCCATCAAATCCACTAAGACATAATACCTTTACCCGTAGGGTATAAAAACAACATAGGAAGTTACCCTAATATTATGCCTATACGTAGACGAGGACCTGTATATGTAATTTTGGTCATGGGCCATTATGATATTCAAATACGAAACTTCAAACAATGCCGGTGAATAATGTCGCTAAAGTCATGATAATACCGAATATAGAGAAGTAGCGTTATATGGATGCTGTCCGAAGACATGGGCCTGCATGCAATTTTCGGTCGCAATATGTAACACCCATTAGGAACTTCAAATACGAAATTTGAAACAATTCCGGTAAATAATATCGCTAAAATCATCATAACACTGAATATAGTAGGCGCCGTTATAAGGTGCTATGTGAAGACCTGAACCTATGTAAGCAATTTTCTGTCATAGGATATAGTGCCCATTAGGAACTACAAATTCCAACTTTGAAACATTTCTGGAAAAGTGTGACACAAGTCATCAATATCTGGAGGTTATACCAAAACGTTGACCTGTATAGCACTAACACACATCGGAGAAAAATTTTATCAATCTACTTCATTTCGTTCGGAAGCTACAGTGATTTCCGAAGACAGACGGACATATAGAAATGTATGCCGGTCAAGAATATATATACTTTGTGGGGTCTGACGGACATTGATATAGAATTGTATGCAGGCCAAGAATATATATACTTTGTGGCGTTTGAAAATTATATTTCGAGATGTTACAAAAGGAATGACAAACTTAATATACCCTCCGTACTGTTTATATTGGAGGGTATAAAAAGATCTTCTTATAGAAGAGCAATTGGTCTACTTATGGAATCAAAATAAGTTATTTTATAGAAGATCAATAAGTTATTTTATAGAGGGCCCATTGGAAAAGAAAATAGAAAATTTCTTATTTTAGGACCAGTTTTATGGAGCCAGATCAAGATCACCTGCTTAATATATTCAATGTCAAAATGAATTATTGTGATTGAAGTCAAAGTAGGAAATTTTAAAAAATATACTAAACAAATTTTGACATTTATTGTGATTAAATGAGGTTGTGAAATCGCTTTCTATTGCTCCACATTTTACATCCATCGAAAGTCTCGATGTAATCGGTGAGGGCAATCCATTGTCTACATATTCTTTAGTCTGTGGCGAATATAATAATGTGTGTCGACAGTTAGGGCCTTTAATTTGTAACTGAAATTTCGGGAGAGAAATGGAGAACGAAACAATTTTTTTTCGAATTCATCTCCTCTCCCTCTCTTATCCACAAACTGCCGGCTTACTTATGCAATTATAATTCTTCATTCTCCAAATATTATCAAAAAATGCTACCTACCTCTATGGTACGTTCAAAATACTCAAAGGCCAATGATGTGGTCTTGGCAGCAGCCAAACTGTCAACATTTTGACCATTGATCTCCTGCAATTGCCGTGAAACACTATCCAAACTGCGATTGATGTCTAACAAATCCGATTTGAATTTCTCCAGCCGTTCCAAACGTTCCAGCGATGACATTCTCTCACCATTACATGACTCGAAATACATACGAAGATTTTCCATCAGCTTCAATATACGATCCGTGTCCACTTCCTTGGCACCGGGTGGTTCCAGAGCCCGAACACGATCTATTAAAATTTCCGATTGTGTTATCAACGATCGGAATGAATCCATTGTCAAGTCGCGGAATTTCTCATGTTCGGCAATGCAACGTTCAATGGCATCATTTGAGTTTTGTTGTGTCTGCTTTTGTCGCGCAAAGAAATCGGCGATTTCCTGATGTATTCTTTGGACACTCTCCAGAAATTGTAGACTGCTTTCGACCAGCGTTTTGTAATCGTATCGTATACCATCCAATTTCGATTTTAGCGTTCGTAAATTACTAATGACTTGTTCGATTTTTTGCATTGCTTCGGGATCTTTCGTTTGAATGTTGAGAGTGGTGTGAACGCGTTCCTGTATCTCATTTTGGGCCTGATCGATGTCTTGCAGAACGAGTTTAAGCTTCTCACTGGTGATAGTGTGCAGCTGTTTGGCATCCACTGAGGGTGAAGTGAAAATTGGATAGAGTTGTGTGTCAACATTGGTGGTTTTAGCAGCGGTCTAAAAAAGAAGAAAAAACATAATTATTAATCAAAATGAAAATTTCAAATTTAAAAAAGAATAGTTGTTATATAATTTGAATAAATTCTACGCATGGCCTAGAATTCTTATTTACATCGAAATCTGAATCGGTGAACCAATTTCAATTTTCGAAGGCTTTATATAGGACCAATATCTCTTTTTTTTTGCTCATTTTTAGAGAGTGCATGAGAATAAGCGATCCTATGATAATCAGATGTGTAAAGCTTAATTTCGTGTCATAATTGCTCCAGTGAATGATTTGATGAAGATCAATGTAGCAGACATTGAATCATGGAATCAGAGTCAAAACCGAAAATGCGCCCAGTGGTTCACAATTCGATTTTACGGCAAAAAAACGGGTTTTTAAAAACATATTGGACTTTGATAGTAAATATATTATAACTATTTTTATACCCTCCACCTTGGAAAGGAGGGTATATTAACTTTGTCATTCCGTTTGTAACATCCTTAAATATTCGTCTGTCTGTCTGTCTGTCCGTCTGTCTGTCTGTCCGTCTGTCTGTCTGTCCGTCTGTCTGTCTGTTGAAATCACGATACAGCCCACATTATTTGACGTAGAGCGCCAAAATTTAGCAGAGCTATTTGCATTGTGTCTAGGATGGTTGGTATTGAAAATGAGATACATCGGTCCACGTTCTGGTATAGTCCCCATATAACGGTACCTCCCGATATTCGGTATTTTGATGATTTATGCCACATTTTTTCACGGATTTGTCTGGAAATTGGTATTTGTAGGTCATAACGGGTCCCTGAGCGTGTGGTAAAACATTGCATGTATAGGTCCACGTTGTGGTATAGCCCCCATATAAAGGTACCTCCCGATATTCGGTATTTTGATGATTTATGCCACATTTTTTTCACGGATTTGTCTGGAAATTGGTATTTGTGGGTCATAATGGGTCCTAGTTCGTGTGGCGAAACATTGTAATTATAGGTCCACGTTTTGGTATAGCCCCCATGTAACGGTACCTCGCGATATTCGGTAATTTGATGATTTTTGCCACATTTTTTCACGGATTTGTCTGAAAATTGGTATTTGTTGGTCATAATGGGTTCCAGCTTCGGTGGCGAAACATTGCATGTATGGGTCCATGATTTGATATAGCCCCCATATAACGGTACCTCCCGATATTCGGCATTTTTATAGTTTTGGCCACATTTCTTCTAATGTTTCTTTTACCCTAAGGTGGAGGGTATTAAAAGTTTGGCCCGGCCGAACTTAATGTTTTTTACTTGTTTTTATTTCATTGATTGCTGTCCAAGTCGATTTGAGATTGGTAACTCAAGGCTAGATCACACATAATGTTAAATTTATATGTAAAGTGTGTTTTTACAATTATCTGTGGCATTTTAATAGCATATTTTCAGAATTTTTATTTTACAAAATAATATTTACTTATCTATATAAAGGGTGAGAAAAAAAACTGCAACAAAGTCAAACGCCATAATTTTTACAGTTTTTTAAATTTTATTAATTGAAAGCAAAAAATGTAGGAAATAGCATCAAATTTTAGCATAAGTTTAGATTTGTTCGAGTTTTTCACCTCTGGACCGAATTATGGCCTTCAAACGGCAAATGAAACCGTCACACGCTGCCCGAATGTTGCTCTGCGGTATATTGGCTCATTTCCCGTCGAAGCGCTTGCGTAAGGTGATCGACATTTTTTTTAGTGCCAACCTTGCTTTTCAAAATACGCCAGCCTTGCTTTCTATGTTACGGTGTAAGTTCGTGCACTTTTTGGAATTTCAATGGCTTATATCCAAATCTGATAAAATTTGGCAAAGGTATCTTCGAGCTCTATAAGATATCTGGTACCAAATAACATTTATATGGAAGCTATAGCTATATCTGAACCGATTTTCCTAAAATTTGATGCACTTGCTCCTAACTGAATTAGGTTGGATATGCCAAAATTCAGGTAATTTGGATTGATATTGGCTATTTGGTGCACAATTAACCCTATATCGGTTATATATGGGAGCTACATTTAAATTTTAATTGATTCTTATCAATTTCAATAGCGTTCGTTCTTGGGCCAAACAAATATTGTTTGGAAAACTTCATCTCAACAAAAAAAAAAAAAAAAAAAAAAAAAAAATACATGAACAGAAGGAGAATTTTTTGGCCCATTGGGAAGACGACATATCAGAAAGAGTGGGCCGATTTATCCCATAAACAGGCAACATTGAAAAATTGCTGAAGGTATAATTATTATTTTGGGCGTACCAGGCGCAGAGTCATACGGACGGACTCAGAGAGACATACAGTCCATGCAAATTTCATGACAGGGAATTTGTCCAGCGGTCTCATTGTTTAGCCACAAGGCTGGGGGAATAACAAGATTAAGAAATTCATTTATTTAAATGCTTCTAGGTCTGGAAAAATCCGACATCTGGATGTTCACTCAAGAAATACAAATTTGCCATTCTTTAAAAAATAGAGAAAACTATTATTAATTTCAAAAGGATGAAAGATCGTAAGAAGTTTTCAGGAGAGCTTGAAAACTAAATTTCGCTGCACTAAATTGTGTCACACCCGAAATATCGTACTAATTTACTGATCGCAGAAATTTTAATTCACATGATTTTATTGTTCGATTTTCAGGTTTATATGGCTTTTGTCAAAACTTTTAATTTTTTTTTTATTTGTATTAATTGTTATTGTTAAATATTCAGTTTTAGGTATGTCTTTCATGATAAATATTTACCAATTTACCTTTAATTTTTTTTCTGACTCGATCGAATCCTGTGTTTTTTATAATTTGAAGTCATTTTTTCTAATCAAGTCTTATAAAAATATATCATGTTCATAATTATGATCGTATATCGCTTTTGGAATCTAGCTATTTAGCCTCATCTTTTTTAAAAAAAAATTATATCCACACATTTTTATGCCCACACATTTTATTAGTTTTTGGCGAAAATAAAATTTGTATAAATTCATTGAAATTTTAAAACTTCCTGTCATATGCCACACAATATTCTCTCTTTTTCTTATGCACTTCGACTATACACCACAAATTCATTACTTTTCACTAGTATTTTTTCGTTTTAATTAGTTTTTCCCCGTCATTTCAAATTTGATCGTTAATTAATTTCCAAACGATTACATTTTGACAAGCAAATTATTCCGGGTTACAGTAATTTAATGGCGAAACATTTGCCGGTCATTTGTTTTGTTGATGATTTTGTGGTTGCAGTAGGAAACGTCAACCAACCAACCAACGCACACACAGAGATGATGTCAAGCTAAATAATCCATTTCAAATATTCAATACATTCAAAGTTTTTTTTAACTAGATTATAATAATTAGAAAAATGAGTTTTGTTAATTGTCTACTCACCTCTTGATTTTGACTCATGATCGTTTCCAAAATAGTTTCAACTTCACGCTTTTCCGTTATATGGGTTGTCCAATTTTCAAAACTGGTTGTTACATCGATCTGTTGCTTACTGAAACCATTGAGGATGTCTTCGACAGCTTTTGCCGATGGTTTAGTATCGAGATATGGATCCAAAATCTGCTCCAAAACACCATTCAATGAAGTACCGAGGAGTATCGAGGAAACGAGAGAGAACAAAAAAGAAAAATAAAGAAAATTTAGTTTTTTTTTGTTGGTTTTGAAAAAAATTCGTCAATGCGTTCGTTCTTGGAGATGTTTATGGGATGCGAGTACGCAGTCAAATAAAGAGGCTGGCTGGTAGATGGGTTGGCAAAGCAGGCGACAGAAATAGACGAAATGGCCCAACAAAAGAACACAGAGCATAACATTGCTCACAACAAAAAAAGAAAAAAAAAATGGGAAAATGTTTTCATTTTGTTGTTAGGTTTTCGTTGTCGGTTTTTTGTTTTTGTATTCTTTTCGTTTTTGTTTAGAGCATTTATTTTTCCAATATACAAAAGAAAACACCACAAGCGTTTATACTGTGCAAAATGTTTAACAAAACAAAAAAAAAATGAATGGAAGGCCCAAACATTTAATTGACACCCTACACCGAGTGGGTGTACGTCAGAGAGTTTTAGTGGAACAAAAAATCGATTATAACTTTTATGTCGTCAATAAATATTTACTGAATAAAAGCATTTGTAGGAATTTTTCCGTGACTGTTTTAAATAATAAAAAAAAAATGAGTTTGTAACGAGAAGCAGTTATGTCCCCTGGAGAATATAACAATTCAATTCGTTTAATTGTGCAAAGTTGCCAATTATAGGTATTCCAAAATTGTCAAAAAAAAAAAAAAAAAAATAAGAAAATAACATATCTCTGTTAAAAAGCGAAGACTCAACATGTCTAAAATAGAGGGTCCAATCTTTTTAGAAAGCTAAAAACATTTTCATAAAAACAAGTTGAACCAGTAAAGAAAGTCTAAAAGTCAGGCGGGGTTGACTTTATAATACCCTACACCCCTTTGCTTCATATAACAAATAAAATATATAACAAATGTAGCTGTAGCTATATCTGCTGTAGCTATATCTGAACCGATTTCAATCAAATTTGGCATACTTTTTTTCCAGGCCTAATTTGGTCGTATTTGCAAAATTCCATACATTTGGGCTGATATTACACGTTCAGTTCACAATAAAATGCAAAGCGGACAAACATATATATGGGAGATATATCATAATTTTGACCCATTATCTCCAATATTAGGGTAAACACAAAAGAATAGTGAAATAACTGACTGACTACGAATCAATGCCCAGACAAACCGAATGAAGCTATAATCTTCAAATTAATACTAAAATGGTACAAAAAGTACTAATATGTACTAAACATTGAATACTTTGTACTGGACATACAGAGTGAGCAGCGATCTTTGGACTTGGAATTGAATTTGCGATAAGTGTAACTGATGGGGTGCAGGACAGATGCATCAAATACGTAATTTTGGGATTTTGAACTACAAGATTACGATAAGTTCTTAAATAGTACTTAACTATTAAAATTGTACCTTTTGGTATTATGTGAACGGATAGAGGTAAAAACTTAAAATTTGGCATGGGAATCAAGATTGGAAAGTAAATGGTGTAAGTGGTTTTGGAAAAGTGTACTAGATGTGCGAACTGTACTAAATGGTATCAAATTCAGAAAAGCTTCGTTTAAGATGAAGCTGGAATTTTGATATTTTGTATTGGGGTTCCTGTTGATGGTAGGTTTGTCATAGAGCTGTTGTTTTGGACATTTATACTAAAGTGCACGAAAACTACTAAATAGTACTGTGTGTGGTACAATTTGGTATTGGGTTAACATATAGTACTTGAAATCAGAAATTTGGTATTAGGGTCACTGTCCATGTGTCGCCTGGACATATGGAGGTGGTTTGGGAAACGCGTATTATAATTGTACGAAAAATACCATGTGGTACAAAATTTAGCATTTTGGCCAATTTTTATTATGAAACGACTTTGAAATAGTTTTGGACAGAAAAATTGGATGTGATGGATTTATCGATGGTGCAATGATTTTAGTAATATAATCCCCTGTATCCTCAGATTTAAACTATATCGGCAACTTCCTTCACTTTATATGAGACTAGCTGAACCCGGTGCGCTTCGCTACCCCTTTTGATTTTATATGCATTCAAAATTTTATTTACGAATATATGTTGGTTAAAAAAAAAACAATTTTAAAAATTAAAAAAAAAAATTATTGCACTACTTTAATGCGTAAATAACCAAAACCATTAGAAAAGCAGTAACATGACATACATACACGAAGGGTTTGTCCTTCGGATTTATTTATTTCATAGCAAATACCAAGCGTGCAGTAAACTGCAATCTTTTGAAGTTGAGTGGCATTTCTATTGCAATTAGTGAATTCGAGATAGCAACATACTTCGCCGTAATAAGCGTATTTCAAATTAATTGTTGTGTTGTTTTTTAGTGTTAGCATAAGGCCTTGTGGGTCAATGGTTCTTATTAAAATCATATCCCAATCTGACCCGATTTAAATATAATTTTAAAAAAATTACTTTTACACCAAAATCCGCCACACCTTTCATATTTCATTGAAAATGGTGCGTCAAATATGTGAAATCGGCCGAAAATATATATATGGGAGCTATATCCAAATCTTAACTAATTTCCAATTTATTTGTCACATTTATTATTGTAACCAAATTCCGCCACACATTCTGAATTTCATTGGTATCGGTCATATATATCATGTTTGGTGCATAACGTGTATGAAATCGGCCGAAATATATATATGTTAGCTATACCCAAACCTCAATTGATTTCAATATAATTTGGCAACTTTTTCTGGTGCCAGATTTTGTCTCTCTCGCTTTGGGTGCATCAAATATGTGAAATCGGCTGAGTATATATATAGGAGCTATAATCAAATCCGAGCGTATTTGAATATAATTTGTCAAATTTATTTTTGTACCAAATTTAGCAACTCATGCCGAATTTCATTGGAATCGGAAATACGTATCGTATTTTGTGCATCAAATATGTGAAATCGCGGAAAATATATATGGGAGCTATATCCGAATCTGAATCGATTTTAATATAATTTGACTAATTTTTTTTTTAATCAAAATCCCGTTACATATTCCAAATTTCTTTGGAATCGAACATACATATCGTGCATGGTGCATAAAATACATGAAATCGGTCGAAAATATATATGAGAGCTATATCCAAATCTGAACCGATTTTAATATAATTTGACAAATGTATATTTGTTTTAATTTCCGCTACACATTCCAAATTTCATTGAAATTAGAGTTTGGTGCATCAAATACATGAAATCGGTCGAAAATATATATGGGAGCTATATCCAAATCTGAACCGATTTCAATATAATTTGACAAATTTATTTTCGGATTAAATCCCGTCACGCATTCCAAATTTCATTGGAATCGAACATTCATATTGTGTTTGAGGCATCAAATGAACGAAATCGGTCGAAAATATATATGGGAGCTATATCCAAATCTGAACCGATTTCAATTTAATTTGACAAATTCATTTTGGCTCCCAATTCCGTTACTTATTTTAAATTTCATTACAATTGGAAATACATATCGTGTTTGGTCCACCAAATACATGAAATCGGCCGAAAATGTATATGGGAGCTATATCCAAATCTGAACCGATTTCAATATAATTTGACAAATTTATTTTCGGATTAAATCCCGTCACACATTCCAAATTTCATTGGAATCGAACATTCATATTGTGTTTGAGGCATCAAATGAACGAAATCGGTCGAAAATATATATGGGAGCTATATCCAAATCTGAACCGATTACAATATAATTTGGCAAACTTATTTTTGTTCCAAATTCCGTTACGTATTCCAAATTTGGAGACTGTATCTTCAACCAATCAATAGATATGTGCATATAAAATCTGAATTTTTGGGAGGTACCTCCGATTCTGATGCTATATCTCCAGTTCCAAGTGGAAATTCAGAAATGTATATAGCCTATGTTACTTTCAGGCGATGTTGCAGTATATATGGAAATTTTCAGGAAAATCTATTCAGCGGTTTTCGAGTCCATAAATTACAAACAAACAAACAAACAAACAAACAAACAAACAAACATACAAACATTTTCCTCTTTTATAGATATAGATATGTGATAATTTTTAGAAAACTTTAAAATATGTGTGAGGTTCCAGATATATTGGACCGATGTATTCCACTGTGGTCTGATAATAGTAATATAACCTTTTGTTGGAAAGGAATCAGAAGGATTGGCCGTTATATACCGTAATGACATCAAATCTCTGATTAAGAGCAATATTTGGATACTCCAAGAATCTCTGACTTGTTTCGCAAGCTACGAGAAATGTAATTATTGAAAGGGGGTTTCTATATGTATCATGCATTAGTAAAAAATTTGTGAAATTTGAAGATCAGTGGAGGCTTTTTTCGCATTTTATGATTTATGATTTTATTATGATAATCAAAATTTTGACACTTTGTCGGTGAGGTAGCAGAAGGAGTGGGGCAATATCTACCATCTTCACACCAGATTTTGTGTTGATAGAAATATTGAGATGTACCGGGATTAAAAGGAATCGGATGCTCATTTTCATGACTATTCCAAATATTGACCCGTTGTGGGGTAGGTACCAGAAGGTACCTAACCGATATATTCCATCTTCACGTTAGCCCTTGCGTTACTTAAAATATTGGGATGTGTAAAATTTGAAGACAACCGGACTCATATTTCATGTTTTATAAGAGTCAGGTTTATGTTAAATGTTGACCCTTTGTGGGGGAGGTATTTGATGGAGTAGACCGATATTGTCCATTTTCGCACCTGAGATAGCACTGACAAAAATATTTTGCAAAAATCGAATGATCCTATCTTTAAAGTATTTTCATTGAAAATGTTGACCTTTTGCGGGGGAGGTACCAAAATGAGTAGACCGCTGTTGTCCATCTCCAAACTCGATCTAAGTTTGACAATAATATCACGATGTACCAAGTTTGCACCAAATTTGATATTCCCTTGGAGAGTTATCGTTATAGTTATAGCCATATTGCTGAGGGTATAGAAT